ATTACTGTACTTATAATTGTGTAAATATTATAAAAAAAAAAAAATGTAAAATAATAAATAAATTCAATTTCTATAAAATATACATTGTAAAATAAAAAATTTTTATAAATAGAAATATTAAAAATTGTAAAACATATTATGTAAAACGTGCAATGTTGTAAGAGTAAAATTAAAATTGCTGAATCTTCAACTTTTTTAAATTGCAAAAAGGGGATTGCATTGCTTCCTTATCTTTGTGAAGTACTTTAAATACAATAAAAATATAGAGTGTACATTACTTTATACAAGTAGGAATAAATAATACTGATTTATATTGTCTTTCATTATAGGGTGTAGTAAGCAGAAAAAATTGTTTGTATTTTGAGTTACATGACTGAATGACTATATTTTTAACACTGTAAGGTATTATTTTTGTTGTATATTTTGTAAAAATTACACATTAGTTAAAAGGTAATATTCATTTATCCATTATTTCTTTTATCTAATTATATAATATACAACATAACAATTATTTAGTCTACTTCCCATTAAATAATTAAATTATCCACAATTGTTATACCAGAATATAATTAAATTTTTATTCGAATATCCTCCCATACTTATAAATAACCTTAGAATAAATTTTTTTCTAATTTTTGTTTAAATACTACGTTCCATTTTAACCCATTAAGAAGAGTTATGCGAATATTTTTTATTAAGATATAGATATAAACAATATATATGCATTATTTCAAAAAACACATTATAATAAGGAATTCTCACATTGACTATTAATATTTTACATATATCTCTATGTATTATAATTGAATACATGATAGATTTGTAGATATACACCATGGAAAGAATAAGCTTTAGTTTTCTCCGTTTTACCAAAATTTTTACGGTTTTATTTTTTATTTGGATAAAAAGTTGTCACAAGGATGATGTAAAACTACAATATTTAAAATGTTATCCCTTCTCTAATTAATTTTATTATTTATATAAATATAATTTTTTACTGTAGAAATGTATATATTTCATAATTATTTTTTTTTTTATTACAGAGATCTCTCAGTATTTCTTATGATATTTCATATAAATTAGGAAATTCATTTAATAATAGACCAAGTCGATTATTATCGAATTATTACACTTATGACGAATTAATGTGTGATTACGTAAATGATTACAGAATTCGTGAAATGATGAGAAATAACCGAAAGAATAAACAAAGGAAAAGAAAAGAAGACATATATAAAAGCAAGCCTTATGTTCATGGAAAAAAATTAATGGATGAAATTAATGAAACATATAAAATTAAGAAAGGAAAAAATTTTGTTAAAAAATCATACAAGAAGGGAAAAAAACTAAAATTATATATAATGTTTGGAGTACCTCTAATTGTAAGTGTGTTATCTTCTTTTTATTTTCCATTAGCATCTTCTAATGGTAATACAGGTTTAGTGTTTTTTATGATAGTATTATCCATAATAGCTACGTTCCTCCTTATATACTTTTTCATATTACTTTTAAAATACCATAATTTGAAAAAGTGATATCCTAGTTTCTATCTTAACGGATAATCTTTATTCATTAAAAAATATATTTAAATAATATATAAAGTGCTCTAGTTGTTTACATATATTACATATAGAACAACATTTTGATGAAGACTTAATGTGTCTATAATAAAATATATGACCTTGAAAATTTACATAAAAAATTTCATTATATATAGATATAAATGAAAAAATTATCCCTAACAATGTTAATAATTGTATGCTTATTTATTCTTTCAATGTTATCCATTATATGTGCAGTTATAATTATGTCAGTTTTTATAAAAATATTTATTATGAAACATGAACAAATGTTAATGATATTATGAAATATTTGAGATCTAATATATATACATTATTATATGATCAGTTATTCTAATTATTTACTACATTAATTTTATCATTAAATATTGTAAAACATGGATAAATTGGTAGAAATTATGTGTTGTCGATTATAATTATATTAATAAATTATGTTAAATTTTATTTCTTTAATTTCATTATAAGTGATTATGTATGTTTTTTGAAAGAAAAAGTATATAAGTTTTACAGTTTGAAATAATAAATTTATAATTTGTTATATTATGAAAAATAATCAATATAAGTTTATTATTTGTTTTTTTTACTGAGCTTATGAATATGTATGCTAAATACATATGTGTAGATATTACTATCTATAAATCATTTAATTCAATGTTACTCATATTAACTTATTTTAAAATATTCTAACAAATATAAACTTTATAACAAAATGTCATATTTTTTAACTGCGTAATTTGTTTACAATTACTGTATTAAATATATAGGACAGTATAGCAATTTTTAAGAAAAAAATCTCAAATCATATAATAAAATTTCTCATAAGTGTTGTAAACACTAAATGAAGAAAAAATATTTAATTAAAAATACAATTAATAAATAAAGAAAAAAATATAATCACAAAATAAGGAAAAATAAATTTTATTTAAATAATTCCTAAACATCATCTAATTACTAGGGACATATTATATCAAATTAAAATGAATACTTCTACATCCTATGTTACAACAGCATTTATATAGATAGTATTATTTTTATTATGTTTTAATACTCCTTTAAAGGTTATATATATTAAATGAATTATATGTCATTTTATATTAATTGTTATTTACAAGCTTGAATTGCATTTAAAAATTTCCTAGTATTTTAGAAGTTATAATTATTTTTTTATATTTTTATATATAAATTTTAACTCTTGAATATCAGGGTTCAGAGTTCAGGTTTTAAGTTGAGGTGTAGTATTACGTTTAGTTTTATTTTTAGGTTGAGTTGTAGTTTTAGTTTTAAATTCAGGTATAGGTTTAGTTGTAGTTTTAGGTTTAGATTAAGGTTAATCCTTAGATTTATGTGTAAATTTAAGTCTAAATTTATATTTAGATATGAGTGCAGGTTTATATTTATATTTTGTTTCAGATTTAGGTGCAGGTTTATGTTGAAATAAAGGTTTAGGTTATGTTTTTGATTTCGGTTATGTTTTAGTTGTTTATCTATATGCTTTATAGTTTAATTTTTATATTTCATTTTTTCCATTATTTGTATTTTTTTATTTTTGGTTTTATGTTGAGGATCATTTTTCTGTTTTTATCGCTATTATTACATTATTTTTATAATAAATATCTTATATAATTTAATTTGGGTTTTTTTTTTTTTTTTT